TCTGGGTGGCATGCTAAAACTGACTTCAGCAAAAATCAAACCCATGCCAGGCACGGTCACGCAAGCCTGTAATCTCAGTGGCTCAGGAGGCTGAGGCAGGAGGATTGCAAGTTCAAAGTCAGCCTCAGTAATTTAACAAGGCTCTAAGCAACTCAGCAAGACCCTGTCTCTAAATAAATATAAATAAAGGGCTGGGGATGTGGCTCAGTGGTGAAGCGCCCCTGGGATCAATCTCCAGTCCCAAAACCAAACAGAAACCAGCCCCAACCAAACCCATCACTAAGGGATGGCTGTAGGTGCTGGGATGGTAGTGCTGGGACTCTCTCCTCTTGGTTTTACTCCTCTCTGGGTCAAAGTCAGGCAGATTCTTTCCAGGAGGTGTAACAAGATGGCCTCCCACAGCTTCAGGTCCCTGTGGTGCCAGCTGGCAACTCCAGGGCTTGGCCACTTTCCCAGGAGTCCCAGCAACTCGGGCTGGCCTCTGATCTGAAGAGGGCGATTGACCTGCTGGTTTGCCAAAGCCACGTTTGGGGAGCTCCCTCCAACTTGTGTGAGGAGAGGTGACCTCCAGTGGAGTTAGGGTGTAGTCACCAGAGAAAGGGAGACACCCCAGGCCAGGTGTGCTCAGCCGTCCCTGGCTTGCAACTGAGTAACTCCTGAGCACCTCCGTCCTGCCTGGTCCGTGTCCCCTTCTGCTTTCTCATACCCCTCCCTGGCAGGTTGTCGGATGTGACCACAAGCTAGACTCATCCAAGCAGGAGGACAAGTGTCTGCAGTGTGGGGGTGACGGCACCAGCTGCTATCCGGTCACGGGCACCTTTGATGCCAATGACCTCAGCAGAGGTAGGGGGCCCCTGTAGGGGGGTTCTGTTGCCTGCCTGGCGCTGGCCTGTCTTCCTCTCTGGACCAGGCTCCAGGCCAGGTGGCTTCATAACCACCAGTGCGTCTGTTGGGTCTCATCCTAACAGCTCCCTGTGGCTGCGGGGAGGAGACCACACTCTTAACTACTTGTCCATTCTGATCTCCTACTGTTGACACCTAGAAGCCGCTTCTCATCCCTTTCCCCCTGGTCCCCACCCTGTCCCTGCTCCCTCCCCAGCCTTCCTGCCTCTCTGGCCTTCATAAAGCTTTTTCCTCTGTCAGGAACACTGACCCCCAAGCAGCCCAGCCTGCCTGTCCCCCCTCCCTTCATCTGTCCCTCTTGGCACTTGAACCCCCAAGGACAGCTCCTTCCTGGGGTCTGAGGGGTGACAGACAAAGTAGCTCAGACCCCGACCCCTGAATCTCTGCCCATCAGGCTACAACCAGATCTTCATAGTTCCCATGGGGGCCACCAGCATCCGCATCGAGGAGGCTGCTGCTAGCAGAAATTTCCTGGGTGAGGCAGCAGTTTGGGTGCTGGGTGAGTTTGGTCTGTGTGGGAGGAGCCTCTGCCCTCAGGGCTGACCGGGGCACTTGTCCCTACACAGCGGTGAAGAACGTCCGCGGTGAGTACTATCTCAACGGGCACTGGACCATCGAGGCAGCCCAGGCCCTGCCAGTGGCCAGCACCATCCTGCAGTACGAGCGGGGTGCCGAGGGGGACCTGGCCCCTGAGCGGATCCAGGCCCGTGGTCCCACCTCAGAGCCCCTGGTCATTGAGGTGAGCAGGGACCTGGGTGGCATAGGGACTGGCACACAGCTGGGCTGGGAGTCTCAGCCTGAGGCTGGCCAGTGGGAAGACCTGACCTCAGCAGAGACCCCCCCTGCACAGCTCCTCAGCCAGGAGCCCAACCCTGGCGTGCGCTACGAGTACCACCTGCCCCTGGGCAGCCCCCAGCCAGGTGTCTTCAGCTGGAGCCACGGCTCTTGGAGTGACTGCAGTGCCCAGTGTGGTGGTGGTGAGCACCCGGCCCCGTGGCCAGGGGAGGGAATGGGCCCTGGGTTCAAGGCACTGCAAGCCACACAGGTGGGCAAGTAGCAGCTCTCTCCTCAAGGCAGGGCGGAGGCAGTGAGGACTGGTAGGTGAAAAATCTCAGGTTGTGGGGTCACCTTGGGGACACTTGGGGATCTGTAGGATTCCATGCAGGACCCCAAGAGGGAGGACTTGACATTATTCCACTGGGAGTGGAGGCCAGGCCAGCAGCTGATGACCAGGTGTCAGGCTCAGCTGTCACTCTTGGCTAAGACTCTGAGCCTTGGTTTCCTCATCTGTAAATTGGGGGTGATGATCAGGCCCACCTGAGAGGGTTGTCTGATACTTAACCAGGATGACCTGTGGGTGGAGTCCAGAGCAGTGCCTGGCCCAGAGAAGGACTGTTTCCTGAGAGTTGACGGACGGCTGCCCTCCTTGGCTCTGACCCCACACAGGTCACCAGTCCCGCCTGGTGTTCTGCACCATCGACCATGAGGCCTACCCCGACCACCTGTGCCAGCGCCAGCCTCGGCCGGCTGACCGCCGCCCGTGCAATCCTCAGCCTTGCCCGCAGACCAAGCGGTGAGGCCCTTGTGGGCCCCTTCCACTCATGGTGGGGCCCAGGAACCTGGGTGGGAAGGGAGGGGGTGTCTAAGGTGCTTTTGGAGTAGAACAAAGAGGTTGGGGGGCCCAGGGCTCTGCAGAGCTGTGGCTGGGGACTCTGAGGGAGTCCACGAAGGGCCCTGAACATGAGGCCCAGGGTCCTTCTCTCCACTCTCGTATGCCCATGCAGTCCTCAGAATGTCCAGGCTGGTGGCAGCGGGCTGGGGACAGTACTGGAGGTCCCTGCCTGAGTCACAGGGGGCTTAGCTTGGCACATGCTAGGGATGAGCCAGGGGTCTGGCTAAGGGCCTGTCGGCAGCAGCAATGCCTTTGTTCGTGCACAAAGGATCTCTTACCTGCACCGGCCCGGAGCCTGGCGCCGTGCTGGGGCCCAGCGTGTGTGTGGGAACAGGTAATCTGGCCACGGGCTCCCGCAGTGCTGCCCACCGGCCTTGGTGGCAGCTATCCTTGTGAGCTGGTGGTGGGCTTGGCTTTGCATGGTGTGTGGGGGTCACCTTTCCTCTAGGGCCACACGTTGGGGAGCCATCTAAGACTTTCCCATCTAAGGTTGGACACAAAGAAACGGCCTGGCTGGGGCGCTGGGGACCTGGGGAGAAGGAAGAGGGATCTGGGGTGAGCAAGGATAGGGACGCTGAGGAGCAGTGGCCAGGCTCAGTCGTCAGGATCCCTCAGATGGCCATTGAACGGTGGGGGCATGCCTGGGAGGGCCTCCTGTGATCTTTATGCAGAGCTCTTTGTCCCCACCCTCAGGGTCCTGGATGTTCAGAGGGTGGGCAGGGCTGGAGTTGGGGTCCTCCCCACGCGTCTGCTCCTGTGTGTGAGGGCAGCTGCTCCCAGGCCAGTCTTACCCAATTCCCACCCTCACCAGCTGGAAGACAGGGCCGTGGGCGCCCTGCTCAGCCTCCTGTGGAGGTGGCTCCCAGTCCCGCTCTGTCTACTGTGTCTTGTCTGATGGGGCCGGCGGCCAGGAGGCAGCTGAGGAGGCCGCGTGTGCCGGCCTGCCCGCGAAGCCCCCGACCACACAGGCCTGCAACCTACAGCGCTGTGCAGCTTGGAGCACGGAGCCCTGGGGAGAGGTGAGGCCCCTGGCCCTGACCAGGCTGGAAACCAGAGCTGGGCCTTAGGCCTGGGCAGCAGCAGGCTGGGCTGGAGGCTTGTCCTCTGCTGTGGAAACTGAGATCCTGGGCGGGTGGCAGTGGTCTCTGAGAGGGTCAGTGAAGGGCCCTGAGCATGAGGCCTGGCACCTCATAGGTGGCTGTCTTGGAAGCTGTGACCAGGGATGACTAGAAGCAGGTTCCTGGATCCTGGTCCTGGGCTGGATGGGAAGCCTTGGCCTTGGCCTGAAGAAGCAGCTGAGCATGTAGTTTGAGGGCAGGGGAGGGGCTTCCAGGGGCTGGGGCTGCTGGTCATTACTTCAGCACCTACATATGCTCAAGTTACAAATGAAGGGAGGTGAAAAATGTCCCTTGGCCTGGTGTCAGCTGCCGAGGTCAGACTGTGTGACCTCAGGGGAGGACAGCCTCTCTGGGCCTGGGGTCAGGACACAGGCAATGGGATGAGTATGCCCTACTCATACGCCAGGCCTGGTGGGCCTCGAGCTGTCCCACCCATCAGCGCCCCCTCGGGCGGCTCTTGCTGACAGCCTGACCTTGCAGTGTTCTGTCACCTGTGGTGCCGGCATCCGGAGGCGGAGCGTTACTTGCCGGGGTGATGAGGGGTCTCTGCTCCATGCCTCTGCGTGCTCCTTGGAGGACCAGCCGCCACTCACTGAGCCCTGTGTGCGTGAAGCCTGTCCCTTCCTCAATGTCCAGGCCTGGCATGTTGGCGCCTGGGGTCTTGTGAGTGTTTGTCCTTGCCCCTACCTGCTGACCCACCTGGATCTGATGTGCACCGCGGGGTCCCTTCCCTTCCCCCTCTTCCTGTGGGTGCCCCAGCCTTAGAGTCCCTATCTTCCCACTCCCACCCTCGGCCCCAGTGCTCCAAGAGCTGCAGCTCTGGGACTCGGAGGCGACAGGTCATCTGTGCCATTGGGCCGCCCAGCCACTGTCAGAACTTGCAGCAGACAAAGCCCACGGAGGTGGAGACCTGTAACCCACAGTCCTGCCATCTTCCTCAGGGTGAGGTCGCGGGAGGGCGGGCCCAGGACTGACCTTCCCACTCACTGCACACCCAGCTGCACTCCTGCGGGCAGCCCCTGACCGCCCTCTCTGCCTCTGTGTCTGCTGAAGCCTTTGCCCTTGCAAAGTCCATCTTTCCGCGACCTCAGAAGCCAGCCCTGCTTTCCCGCACCGGGCAGCAGTGTCTTCCCCTCATCCCCACTGCCCCCAGCGTGCTTCATGTCTGTGCCACTCATGTCATGCTGCCGTGGTGGTTGGCATACAGCTGCTGCTGCTGCTCTGTTTTTTGGGTACTGGGGTTGAACCCAGGGGTACTTAACCACTGAGCCACACCCCCAGCCCCGACCCCTCTTTAATATTAGAGACAAGGTCTCGCTGAGTTGCTAAGTGCTTTGCTAAGTTGCTGAGGCTTTCTTTGAACTTGTGATCCTCCTGCCTGACAGATCATCTGTGCCGTGGGGCCACCCAGCCACTGTAGGAACGTGCAGCAGGTTCCTAAGCTGCTGAGATTATAGGTGTCCTCCACCGCACAGGGGGGGGGACATATAGCTTCTTAGTCCTATTAGCTATAAGCTCTTTGAGGATGGTGTCCATGACTTCCTGTTCCTCCTTATGTCCCCTACAGAATGTACCTAGCAGGAGAGAGGTACTTGGCAATTGTTTGTTGAATGCCTGGATGCAGGGGGAAGGAAGGGCGTCCAGATACGGGCATCTGTGGAAGGAAGGGCACAGGCCAGCATTTGCTGATGTGCAGATGGGACATTGAGGAATGGGGTGGGTTGTAGCTGAGCTGAAGGGGAGGATATGGTAGAAGTGCTAGTGATCGGAACTATAGGGACCTTGAGGTGGGGACGACAGGGTGCCAGTGGAGGTGTATGGCAGGGGGCCAAAGAACCATGAGTCCACAGCAGAGAATTTTATTCGCTCTGGGCTGACCAGTTGTATGGCCCTCAGCAAGCACTCTCCTCTGATAGTGCAGGCTGTGGTGGGTCCCAGGTAAATGGCAGTGGTGTTAGTGAGCCTCGGTGGGCAGGCCTAGCCACAGTGACCATCTGGAGGGTCCTCAGGGCCAGACCTTGGGCCTGGATTCTGGCCTCACCAGCAGGAAAGCACTTGGGACCCAGGTGTGGGTCTCTGGGTGGAGCTACTCTGCTGTCCAGGGCCCTGATGGCTTCCTGGAAGAGGCAGTCTTGAGCCTGCGCCAGGGACAAGTAGGGGTCACATAGTAAAGCAGGAAAGGTCGTCTCGGGCCAGGCTGAGAGGGAAGAGAATTCAATACATTGCTGTTTTTATAACTATAAAATAATGTTTGTTCAGTGTGAAAGTTTTGGAAAAATTAGAAAGTAGTATGTAAAGAATTGAAATTGCCTTGAACTCCATCCATTCATGGGATTCGTCTTGAAGGTATTTCCCTGAAATGTGTACGTAATTTCGATTCCGATTCTGCCCCGTCATTCTATTCTCTCGGTGGACATTTTCCAGCTTCATGATCTCTAGGACTTCCACAGAAGTTCACAGGGTGATCATTTAGAATCTAAGTGGTTTTTGGTGTTTGGGGTAATTAATACCCTAGAGCCTACTGGTGTGTGTCAGAGGGAAGGGGAGTGGTTTGGGGCTGTCCCTTGGGGAGACCCACTGAGGGTGAGGTGTCCAAGTGCCCTCTGCTTCCTCTTCTTTCTAGGCCCTAGAGCAGTACTCTCCACAGGAAGTAGAATCTAAGCCATGCATATCAGTTCAGATTTTCTAGAGCCCCATTAGAAAAGCAAAAGGTGGCCTGAGAGTGAAGTTCAGGAGTAGAGCATATGCCCGGCTTGTATGCAGCCCTGGATTCTGTCTTCAGGGCTGCAAGGGGGGAAAAAAAAAGTAAAAACAGATGAATTTATATTTAAGAATATATTTTATTTTCTGGGTATTGTAGTACATTCCTGTAATTCCAGATATTCAGGAGACTGAGGCCGTAGGACTGCAAGTTCAAGGCCAGCCTAGGCAACTTAGTGAAACCCTGGCTCAAAATAAACATTTTAAAAAGGGCTGGGAGGGGTGGGGATATAGCTCAGTTGTAAAGTGCCTGTCTGGTGTGCCCAAGGCCCTGGGTTCAATCCCCAGCAACACACACACACACACACACACACACACACACGGGCTGGGGATTCAGCTCAATGATAGAGTGCCCCTGGGTTTAATTTCCAACCGCAAAACAAAAAATATATTTTATTCAATCCAATATAAATATTTTCAGTATGTATTCAGCATTTTTTGGGGGGAGGGTACTGTAGATTGACCCCAGGGGCACTTTACCACTAAGCTACATCTCTGATTCTTTTTCTTTTTTGAGATAAGGTCTTGCTAAGTATGCCTGGCTCAACATAAAAATGTTTGAGAGTTTGCATATTTTCTCTCTCTCTCTCTCTCTCTCTCTCCCCCTCCCTCCCTCCCTCCCTCCCCCCCCCCTCCCCAGTACAGGGATTGACCTCAGGGCCTTGTGCTCTACCACTGAGATGCACTCTAGCCTTTGTATTCTCTTTTACAAAATTAAAACCTGTCTTCAAAATTTAATGCATAATTTATACTTACGGCTCCTATTAATTCAGATGCTAAATTTTCACCAGAATACTTACTATAAAACTAGATTTCATGAAATTTGGAGCCCAAGTTATTACAAACATACTTAGGTGTTTTTCAATAAGTGAATCAATATTGATTTTAAAATTTAGTTGTTTGTAATTAAATGAAATTGAAGACCCAGGTCCTCCATCACTTAGCCACATTTCAAGTACCCAGTAGCTGTGAGACCAGGAGGGTCCTCAGCCCTGGGGATGAGGTGATGCTCTTAGGGCTGGATGGATGCCGAGGGCTTCAGGCTTGGGACTCGAAAGACCCAGGGGAGACATTGACTGGAGCTAGAGGGAGTCACTATGAAATTTGAGAGGATCAGACGGAAGTGGAGACAGATGAGAAGATGCAGGCATCTCTGGGAGCAGACTGCAGGAATTCATGCACTAGAAAGAGCTCTGGGACCTTTCATGCATGAGGCCCTGGGTTCCATCACCAGCACTGTTTAAAACAAAGAAAAATGGTGGGAATGAAGGGCAGGTGTGGCCCATGAGGGCTTGCTGCCCAGGGCCTGGACTGAGCTAAGCCTACAGAGGTGGAAGAGACGTATGAGGGGAAGCCAGAGGGCAGGACAGGCTTGGCACAGATGCCTTTAAATTTGAGGTGACCAAGGGACAATGGATAGAGATTCCAAGGTTGTGAACACAGGGCCAGAGAGATGGTGGGCACTTGTCTGTGGGAGATGCAGATATGGGAAAAACTGTAAATCGGCCTCATCCCAGGTTCTGACCTGGCTATGTTAGGAAATAAAATTAAGGATCTTACTGCACACCTCTTGGTATCTTCCAATCCTAAATTACTATTTTCAATGTTCCCAGGGACTGGAAGCTCTATCCATGTAGAAAGGGAATATTCACTTATCTATTCTAATTACTCTGTTACATAGTAACATGCTTACTGTAGAAAATTAGAAAAAAATCTGTACCGTGAGCAGCCACATACCCATCATCTAACTTGTACATTTAGATGTTTTTCATATTTTTTTAATATGGAATTTTAAAAACTGAGGTCAAACTTATATAATATACGGTTAACTCTTTTATTGTATGTTTGGTGATGTTAATGTTATTTTTTTAGCCTTTTTTGCATATAGACATCCTAGTGGGGCCAAGTGTTATCTCATTGTGGTTTTTATTTGCATTTTTTTTTTATTATGCTGGGGGATTGAACATAGGGCCTTATGCATGCGAGGCAAGCACTCTACCAACTGAACTATGTCCCCAGCACTGCAGTTTCTTAATGACAAGCAATGATGAAGATCTTTTTATATGCTTGACTATTTGTGTATGTTTAGAGAAATGTCTAAGTTCTTTGTTCATTTTAAAAATTGGATTATTTATCTTTTCATTGTTCCGTTTTTTGTGTGTGTGTGTGTGTGTGTGTAGGGGGGAGGTTCAAACCCAGAGCTTTAAGCATGCTTTACCACTGAGCTACACCCCCAGCCCAATTAAAAAAAAAAATCTACCATATTTTGCTTTATGTGGTGGGGATGCTAATTTTGTATTTGGCTCTTCTTTTTGCTGGATCCTGCCCTCTACACTCATTGTGTTGGTTCCGTGCAGAGGTCCCCAGTGTGCAGAACTTGCATGCTGGTCCCAGGGACTCCTGGATGCCTTTGGGTCCTCAGGAAGCTCCAGCCTCAGGTGAGAAGCTGGGCCTCGGCTGCCTACCCAGGGCTTCTCATCTTTATGTCTGAGTAGGTGGTACCTGGAGGTAGAAGTCAAGGGTGGGGATGTACCAATGGCTGAGAGGAGTGGTTTAGGGGAAACGGAGGAGAGTAGGTTAGATGTGGACATGAATGGAGGGAGAGGAGCCAGGTGGACACATCAGTGTGGCTTTTGCTTTGCCTTTATAGACTCCAGAGACCAGCGATGGGCTGCTCAGGAACGGCCCTGGCTCCAGAGCAATCCCAGGAGGGACCAGGGCCTCCAACTGTCAGCCCTGGGCCCAGCCCCCTCTCTGCAGCAGTCCCCCCACTGGCTGCCCCCAAGGTCTGGCTCAGGGACTAGTGACTGCAGATACAGTCCCCATGGGTGCTGCCCAGATGGCCATACAGCATCTCTTGGGCCACAGTGGCAAGGCTGTCCTGGGACTGGGGCCTTGTGTCAGCAGAGCAGGTAGGTGCTGGGGACAGTTCTTCTTCTTCACCATGTTGAAAAAAAAAAAAAAAGAAAAAAGAAAAAGGGATGGGGAGGGGGTTGCAGGGCTCAGGATTAGGACTCCCAGGGTTTTGTCTCTGAGCTGCCCTGATTGTGCAATCCTGGGGCCTTGGCTTTGGAGCTGGGGTACAACTTCCTGTTTTCCCTGCTGAAATCAGCCTGTGGAGAGGAAGCCAGAGGCTTGGAGAGGGCGGAGGGATGATTCTGGCTCTAGATCTGGACCTAGCTCTCTCTAGATCCAAGTCAGGCACAGGGAAGCTGGACCAAAGCTGACCCGTTCCCAACACCCCCACCCACTCCAGCCTGGCAGAGAAGGGCTGAGCCATTCCAACCTCTGCCAAATTCCCTGGGGCTGGTTTTTCTCCTTCCAAGGCTTGCCCTGGGCAGATGCCCCTCAGGGCCTGGGGTGGAAGGGCCCAGGTTTTGGGGTCAGTAGCCTGGGGATGATTGTCAGCCCAGCCACTTACTAGCTGTGCCATGGGTGAGTTAAAGCAAGTTATTTAATCTCTGATCTTGGCCTCCTCTTCTGAGAACTGGGAACAACGGTGGCCACTTGGTAGGGATTGATGTGAAGGTGAAATAGGTTAACAATTGGCACAGAGACAGTGCTTCACCACATTTCTTTCACCTTGCTTCCCAACACCTGGTTGGTGGAGGTGAGATAAATGGTGGGCTCCTTTTAACCCCCCTTTTTGCCATCTGCTATTGTTTTGTAAAAGCTCCTTGGGAGCCTGCTATTTTGACAGGCTTGGATGAATTCCCCTTCTTAATTCATGGTAGGGTGTGTGAATCAAGTATCAGTGTTCAGGGCTGCAGCCTGTGCTTACTGTAGCCCTCGCGGGCAGCCGCAAGGTGGCAGTGGACATGGGCAGAGGCAGGGGCACATGGAGTGGTATGCTCTTCCACCAGGGGTCTTACCCTCCATACGGGGAGCCTCAGAACCTGCCTCCTGTGGTGCTGGAAGGTGAGGCATGAGGGTCCCTGGAAGGCCGGGGTCAGGGCTGGGCACTGAGGGGTGCTGTGTGCTGTCTGCCTAGGTACGGATGCTGTCCTGATGGGGTGTCTGTGGCGGAGGGGCCCCAGCAGGCTGGCTGCGCAAGATCTGGGAGCAGACCAGGGTCCCAGGCAGTGTCTTCCACGGTAAGCATCTGGGTCCTGTGAGAGAGGTACCAAGCTTGTCCCTGGTTTTCTCAGTGCTACTTGTCCCAGGATTTTTCCAGCTTTGACCTTGGAACAGGAAAGTTCCAGCAAGTTGGCTGGCCTGGGCCATCTGTTTGGGGGCACCTGGCTTCAGAGATGGGCCTGGCTTATGGTTGGAGCTTCATTCCACATCCTCCTGGCCTCTGGTCACCCCTATCACTGAGGCTATGACCCTCAGACTTATGGTCCTGTCTCTTCCTGGTTCCTGCTGCCCTTCCCCAGGCAGCCCAGGGTCCTCACCAAGAGCCAGATGTGTTTTCAGCCTCTCAATCCTGGGCTTTCTCTCCAGATTCCTGAGGCCCATAGACCGCAGGCCCAGCAGAATGAGCCCAGTGAGTGCCGGGGCTCCCAGTTTGGCTGCTGCTATGACAATGTCGCCTCTGCAACTGGCCCCCTTGGGGAGGGCTGCGCAGGCCAGCCCAGATATGGTGAGTGGACACACTCTTCTCGTCCTTCCCAGGAGGTGGCCTCTAGTCGCACTGTGTCCTGCACTCCCACCCCCCACCCAGTGACAGAGACCCGCCCGTCAGCTCATCCATTCCTCCCACAAATTCCCGAGTGCCTACTAGAGGCCAGGCCAGAAAACGGTGCCAGACTGTTCTTGGATCCAAGATTGTACTTGAGGCCTTCTGGCAGCTTTGGGAGTTAGAGAAAGTGGCAAGGAGGGATCCTGAGAAAAGAGAGGGCCCATGTTGTGCCTGGGAGTCAGCCTCGTCCTGAAGTGGAGACAGTGTCAGGGTGAGCAGAGCCGGGAAGGGCAGGAGTGGCCTTATCTTGCTTGGGACGTGGATGGGGCAGTGGGACAGTCTTGGAGAGAGTGCTGGGGCCTGGGGGGGGGTCATTGAGGCTGGAGCACGGGATGCATGGGTAGAGCTGCCAGGGACCACTATGCAGATATCAGAAGTCAGATAGGCTGGTGGTCAGGGTTTTACAGGAAGCCAGACACCTAGATGGGTGGCCATGGTCACATCTGAAAGTTGAGGTGGAGCAGGCCCTGCTGGCCAGGAGGGCTGTTAGAATGGGCGGGCTGGCAGCGGGGGGCAGGTTTGAAGGCTGGTGTAGACTCCTGGGGACAAAGGTGGGCTCTTTGCTGGGTATTGTCACAGACCCACCAGGGTGGGCACGGTAAGGTTAAGCTCTAGCTGGGGTGTCCAGTTTGGGAGGAACAAGAGGGACCTGGCCGAAGGAGCTGACAGCTGGCTGGGGCCTAGCTTACGGCAAGTCTGGGCAGTGGACATTCTCAAGTATTTTGTGTTCCCAAGGCCTGGTCAGTGGCCCAGGCAGGATTATAGTCACACTCCACAAACAGAGAAAGATATGGTTCCCAAGTCTGAGGCTGAGGGGATGGTGGGTGCAGCTTTCATTGTCCACTTGGGTGACCTGTCTCACCCCTTCCCTTCCAGCCTACCCTGTGCGGTGCCTGCTGCCCAGTGCCCTTGGCTCCTGTGCAGACTGGGCTGCCCGCTGGTACTTTGTTCCATCTGTGGGCCAGTGTAACCGCTTCTGGTATGGTGGCTGTCATGGCAATGCCAATAACTTTGCATCGGAGCAGGAGTGTATGAGTAGCTGTCGGGGGCCTCAACATGGACCCCACCATCCTGAGCCTGGGGTCTCTGGCCAGAGCACACACACAGATGGTGGCGGCAGCAGTCCCGGAGGCTCCCAGGAGCCTGGTCTGAACAGGACAGGAGCTACTGCTCCAAGACTGCCCTTGCCTTCTGGCGGCCTCTGGTGGAGAGAACAAGAGCTTGGCCCTGGGAAGGCCACCTTTGGAGACCGGCCTGGGGGCCAGGAGCTTGGTTCCAGGACCCCTGGACTAGGTGGAAATGCCAGACAGCCAGCGCCACCCTCCCACGGTTCTTCCTACAGGTGAGGCCCACCTTCCCAAGGGAGGAGGATAGAGTGCCCAGGCCAGGCAGAGCTGGCTCCTCTTCCGTCCCTAACTTCTGATCGCCACCTGTAACTTCCTTTCTATGGGTGGGGAAGCTGAGGCTTCAGAGACCCCATGAGACCTTGATGTAGACTCCAGCTTCTGGGTTCTCTGTCAGCTCTTGCTGGTATCTAGGGCCTGTCTAGCTAGAAAATGTTGCTGGCTTCAAGTCACCCAGCTTCTCTGGGCCTCAGTTTCTTGACCTGTAACATGGTGATGTTATTTCCTGCCCTGAATTTCTCCTGGAGATTTGGTGTGGGTTCCATTCATTATTATTCTTGGGACTGGGTTATCATTAATAAGGGATTTGAAAAAAATGAAAAAACAAAACTTACAGGCCATAGGGTCAAGCATGTAGTCCGGCCACCTATGTGAATCTTATGTGGGGGTCACTCCTCAGCCTCCTCTCAGCCCCTGAGTTTCATGTGCCTTGTTGCTCTTGAAAGAGCAGGTTTAGAGGCAGCGCCTGGGCATGGTGGGCAGGTGGGAGGGGCTGGAGTCCTGAGTCCCTGGGGTGCTGGAGTTGGCTTCCCTTGAGACTCTCTGGCCCAAGTGTCTGTGACAAGCTGTTTGTTCTGGTGCCCAAGAGGTGGTCCCTGGCCCTGATGCCAGGGGGCAGAGCGTCACCTCTCACTTCTTCAGGATTAGCTTGGCAGGTTCGCAGCCCTTCCTGGTGCAGGCAGCCCTGGGGCAGATGGTGCAGCTTTTGTGTCCCAGCAACACCTCCCCGGAACCACAGGGTGGGTGGCAGAAAGATGGCCATCTTATCTCCTCTGACAGGTATGTTGAACAGGGACAGTCCTGTTTGTGTCTTTCCCCACAGTAGCCCCTCTGAGCTTCCCTGGGACAGAGGTAAGTGGGCTCAGGAGTGCTCTGCGGAGCTGGGACCCACTCTGGGAGCAGCACTGGGGCCTGAGGGAGAACTCATTGCCCTCAGGAGCCCTGAGCTCACATCGTCCCTCTTTCAATTCAGGCACCAGTTGCAGTCTGATGGCTCCCTGGTCATCAGCTCCCTGCAGGCAGAGGATGCTGGCATCTATAGCTGTGGTGGCCACAGCCCAGGCAGTGACACCCAGAAGATCCAGCTTCGTCTCACAGGTGTCATAGGCCCCAGAGTGGGACTGGATGGGAGGGCCTGTGCTAGGGCTGTTCCCACCTTAGAGGGGCCTGAAGTGCTTCCATGGGTCAGCTTCTCCTGACGGCAGGAACCACACTGTGGCTCTCGTTTCTCCACCCTTCCTTCCTTTCCCTTCTTTCCCAGCTCACACCTTGCTTCTCCTAACCTCATGACAGGGGAGGACATGGTGGTGCTGTCTGAGACTGAGCTGAGGCAAAACTTTCCTCAGACCAGGGACCCAGTCCAGGACCACAGTTCTCAGGACTTCAGCCCGAGGAGGGATGCGGGGGGCCTGGGGGCTGTCTCCTCCTCACACCCACGGCCTGCAGCCAGGTAACAACTCGTCAGTGCCATCTTGCTCTCAGTCTCTCCCACCTGAGGGCAGGGACCATGGACTCCGTGGGTGAGAGAAGGGAAAGGTATATGTTGTAACCAGGCCGTGCTGGCTCCTGCATGGGGCTTTGCAAGGTGAGGATGAGAAACGTGGCTCTTTGAGCTGGACCTCGTGGAGAGGAAGGGAAGCCCTTGCCTGTAAGCAGCTCTACAGGCCTGGGATGAAGGGAAGGGAAGGTAGCCAGAGCTAGAGGGCCCAGCCAGCTTGGAGGAAGAAGGCCTTGAGTCTTGGTTCAGTTTATGGAGGGTGTGTGGAAGGCTGATGGGGTGCCCAAGTCAAGGCCCTGGTAGCAAATGTGTAGGGTGGGGAGAAGACAGGGAGGTGGTGGGTATGTTTAACCAGCCACGGGCTAAACGAACCCGTTAGTTACTGTGTCCTGAGCAGAACACAGAGGTGATTGTAGGAAGCTGAATCTGGCTGGAGAGGAAGCTCACGTGGAGGCCCCATGGGAGTCAGGGAGGCAGCGGCAAGGGACTCTCATGGCTGTGGGTGGCTTGTTTCGTAGGCTGCATCTGGACCGGACACAGCCTGCTGTGGTGGATGCCAATCCGGGTCAGCGAATCCGGTTGCCCTGCCATGCTGAAGGCTTCCCTCCCCCGACCATCGAGTGGCAGAGACATGGGCAGCCCCTCTCCTCTCCCAGGTTCACCCGTCTCCTCCCTGCCTTCCTGTTCTGCCCAGCCCACCCCATCCTGTGGAGGCCCGAGCAGGACTCCTGGGCTCTTTGAGAGATGGATCTGGGAGTGCAGGGCTCCTGGGGTGGGCCAATATTTGGGTCACTGGGTCTTTCCAGAGTGTGGTTGGTGGATAGAAATAAGAAGTGGGCTAACATGGGCAATGGCTGAGGAAGGAAATGGAGTCCGAACCCAGTTCTGATCACTTGCTAGCATTTATTGAGCACTTAGTGAGCTTTTCTCTCATATAAGCTTCAAAGGAGCCATACTGAGGCAGGTGCTCTTTTCTCTCCATTGTGCATATGGAACTTAACATCACATAGCTCATAAGTGGTAGAACCAGTGTTAGAGCCTACTCGAGAATGGCAAAGTCTAGAAACCCAAACCAGAATTATATCTGAAAACTTGAAGAGATTTATTGTGAGGCTAAAAGCCAGGTATATTTGCAGTGAAGTGCTGGCAGCAGGAGGTAGTGAGGGCCTGAGGCCTATTGGCTCTTTGGTAGACCTCGGTTGACAGTAGGGGCCACTCAACCTCTGATCCCAGTCACCGTCTCTCCCTCACCCCCCTCCTGACCCCTGGAGCTGGAGCCAACCCATTGTACTTGGTCTCCAGACACCAGCTCCAGCCTGATGGTTCTCTGGTCATCAGTGGAGTGGCTATGGAAGATGGTGGCTTCTACACTTGTATAGCTTTCAATGGACAGAACCGAGACCAGCGCTGGGTCCAGCTCAGAGTTCTGGGTAAGATGGCAGTTCTGAGTGGGGCCAATGGCCTTTGAGGTCATGTGGCATGGTGGGGCCAGAACTGGATAGTGTTTGACAGTGTCTCCTCCTGTGCCCAGGGGAGCTGACAATCACAGAGTTACCCACTACTGTGACAGTGCCAGAGGGTGACACAGCCAGACTGGTGTGTGTGGTGGCAGGAGAGAGTGTGAACATCAGATGGTCCAGGTAAAGCTCTATTCCAGAAAGTCCCTGCCCTTACAACCTCAGGTGTGGGAGGTCTACCTCTCTGCCAGGGCCATTGCTGTCACCACTGCCTCTGTACCTAGCTCCATCCCTCCACCAGGCCTTGTGCTGGGGTGGGGGTACAGTACCCTCATCCTACACGAGGAGGCCCTGTGGGACAGCTTGCTTTTCCACTGGTTAGGCTATAACAGGGTTTCTTAAGCTAAGTATCATTGACATTTGGACCAGATAAGTTTGGTTCAGTCCTATGCATTTCAGGATATTTAGCAGCAGCCAGGATATCTACCTACTAGCTGCCAGTAGCCCATGTCCAGGTTGTGACAATAGAAAATATCTTCAGGCCGAATGCAGTGGCAGACACCTGTAATCCCAGTGGATTGGAAGGCTGAGACAGGAGGATATTGAGTTTAAAGCCAGCCTCAGCAAAAGCGAGGCACTAAGCAGCTCAGTGACATCCTGTCTTTAAATAAAATGTAAAGTAGGGCTGGGGATGTGGCTCAGTGGTGGAGTGCTCCTGAATTTAATCCCCGGTACTCCTCTCCACCCCCAAAATGTCTCCAGACATTGCCACATTCCCCTGGGTGGCCAAATCACCACCACTGTGCTGCATTCAACTCTGGGGAACTTCTGTGGTCTTTTATTCCAGATCAATGTCTTTTGTTCATTTAACAAACCCCTACCCCAGTCCCTGGAATATGTCAGGATTATGTTGGGTTCTGGGGATTCTGGGGTCATTTAAGCCCTAGGGCACTCCCCAGCAAGAGCTGGCTCTGTGTCCCAGGAGCTCCCAAAGAGGAGTCCCAAGTGCTATCTGTGCACAGAGGAGATGAGGCTGCTTTTGGTCTGGAGGAGTCAAAGAAGGGGAGGCTGGGGAGGTGATTCTGGCTGGCTGGGCCTTAAGGCTAAGGAAGGGAAGGCTGTTCTCGGTGGGGGAGGCAGCAAGTACCAAAGGTAAGTATTTTAGGAAGGATGCTAGAATGGGAATGGGCTGTACACAGGTGGGAGAATTGATGGGGTCATAAAGCTCAGCTGCCTCCAGAGTGGCCTTGGTTTCAGTGGCTTCAGTGTTAGTGTCCCCTATGGCACAGCTATCTAACCTGGCTGTCTCCACCTGTTCATTGCTCTCCTCAGATCCAGCCCCTGTTCCAGGAACACTGGCCTGGTTAAGGCCACCAATCCCCTCCTCGTTCCCCTTACCACAGAACCATCTCAGTCCTACATGACCTGCAGCAGTGTTGTTCTGCTGACCACTCACTCCTTGAAATGCCCCTTCCCTGGCTCCAGGAAGCCAATCTGTCCTTGGTGGTCTTACTGTGACTTTACCTTGGACAGCCTTGGAGAGGCACACTTCCTGGGGCCACCACCTCCTGCTGCTACACATCTGGGTTTGGACTCTATTGAGCTCCAGACCTCAACTGACACATCCTGGTATCTCACTGCACACATATTCAAAATGGTGGAACATGACTTTAACACTCACTCCCCCCCGCCTTGCCCTGGGTCTCCCCAGGTTGGAGGGACATCACCATCACCCAGTAATGCAAGTCTGATTGCTTCCTCTCCCCTGCCTCCCACATCTGACCTTCATCCCAATCCTCTATTTTTCTGCTTTCGTCGTCTACCCAGTGTGCACCAAGGCAGCGTCTGCTTCCCTGGATGCCCTTTTCCAGGCCAGCCCATCAGTTCCACATCTCTCCATCACCCCCAGGACCCTGCTGACTAGTTTCTGTCCCCTGCCACCTTGCAGTGTATACTTCCTCCTGCATTCCCTCTTCCTTGCTGTGGCTGTGGCGTTCCTTCCTTCAGGGGAGTCTCCTTAGTCTCCCTCTTAATTTTGTGTGTGGAGTGCTAGGGATTGAACCCAGGGACTTAGGCATGCCAGCTGAGTGCTCTACATCCCAGCCTTGGTTTTCCTCTTGGTTGGCCAGAAGCTGAACAACTGGGACACCCGGGGCAGAGAGTGCTCGTGCTCTGTGGGCTCATCCAGCACAGAGAAAAGCCCGAGTACGATTCCTTTGTGAACAGAGGTGAATCTAGAGTTACTTAGATCAGCATGCTTACTTTGTGTTTACCTCACTTGTGAAATTTTGTGTTGGTAATAGTCTCCTACCTTTTTGGCATGCCTATTCCCTCTCTTCCTTGAGACAAGGGTCATCTGCTTACCCTCAAGGGGAGGATTGGCTCTAGAATGGCCACACACCTTTGATTCCCTCCTCCTCCCATTTTCCACTCTTCTAGGGCCTGAAGGAGGCCCTGGACAGCTCACCAGTGTCCTTTCCCCTGTAGGAATGGACTGCCAGTGCAGGCCGATGGCCACCGTGTGCACCAGTCCCCAGATGGCACACTACTGATCCACAACTTGCGGGCCATGGATGAGGGCTCTTACACATGCAGTGCCTACCGCGGGAGCCAGGCAGTCAGCCGTAGCACAGAGGTGAAGGTGGCCCCAGCAGGTAAGAACGCATGCCTACCAGGGTGGGAGGGCATTTACTCACTGTTGGGGCCTGGCTGGTTGTAAGCTGAAGAAGGGTGCAGGCTCAGCAGTGTGGGGGACTCTATTCAAATGCTGACTTACTCTGCCTGTTTCTGGTAGTGTGACTCTGCAAAGGCTTCACCCTGTGCAGTGGGTGGCCTCACCCCTTGAAGCCAGGTGAAAGGAAGTAGGCAGCACGCCTGCTGCACACTGCTTATGACCTCTTTAGGCATTGTCATTTAGACTTGCCACTTTTATTCAGAAAAATGATTGGAATTTTGTTTTAATACTTATGGTCCATAGGCCACTAAAATCTGTCCATTCTAGTCAGTGTGGCAGAAAGCGGTCCAATGACTAAAAGGGGCCTCTTTGGCCATTTGAGCACATAACCCTGCCCTCTCCTTTCTGGGTTATCATCACACTACAAATGAGATTGGTACCTGGAGAGATTAAGGGATGTTTCTACTAGTCACACAGCAGATTAGTGGCCCAATTGGGACTAGAGCTCTGGTTTTATGACTCCTCATGGTTAATCTTTTTTCTTTTCCCTGAACGATTACACCTGTAACAAAGTGTAATTATTCACCAATTTGATATTTTAGCCTTATATATTCTCCAGATGTTGCTCTTTGTGAATTTTCATATTTCAGCAATCGAAGTACTATATTGTATGTGGTATCAGTACAAAAAATGATACTGCTAATTAAATGACAATGGTGACATACCACCATCAATTAATACGCAGACCGATTTGAGAGATGTGAAAAGAAGTACATTTTGGAATTGGTGACAGACAGTTTTAATGCTCAAACTCATTAGAGCTCTGTGGGAAAGGGGAGGGGAACTCTGCCCACTGAGCTCTCCCTCAGTTGTGGTTCACTGAGGGACTGAATCAGGATAGTGTCCTGGGCCAAGCAGCCTGTTCTCATATACCTGATGCAGAAGCTCAGATAAAATTGATACGAAATTTACTGATTTTTAGAAAACACTATGCATAAATAACCTTGTTATTCATATTAACGTAAGTAGTTAGCCCTCTGGTTATTAATACATCAAATCTTTCTATTTCTAACCATTCACTGGCTAAGTTGGGCTTTTCCTGGTCATCTTGTGAGGAAACAGGAGAGGATGAATGTTCCCTATCCCTGGGAGGCCTGGTGTTAGGGAAGGTGCAGCTTGGATCTAAGTGGAGCTGAGCTATAAGATCGCTTTCAGAAAGAAGACACCTCACTCAATAAGGCCACTAAGCCCTAGGATGATATAAGACGCTTCTAGTAAAGGTAGAGGGGCAGGCAACAAAGGCTCTGTCCTCAGTATAGCATTTGAGTCATTCCAAGTCTTTTCCTGCCATTAATTCATTACTTTCTCTGGGAGAAGTGGAAAAACTAGAAATATAGGGATCTAGGTGACTCAGACAAGCTGGGGAGATGTATGCTTTATATATATGTGTATTACAAAATATGTAGCAAGTGTCAGGACATTTATAGCTTAGTTATGGATATTTGTTTTGTGGTGCTAGTGATGGAACCCATGCCTCACACATGCTAGGCAAGTGCTCTAGCACCGAGCCACACCCCCAGCCCCAGTTGAGGATTTTGAAGGCACAAAACTTTGGGGGGTTGGAGGACCCCAGGAGTAAAAAGGAGAAGATAATATAGGTCTTGTTGAGTCAGATTTTACTGAAAGCTGATCCTACCCCTTCTTTCCAAACTCTTTCTTCCAAACTCGAGGCTAAGGTAGTTGTCATTTCGCTCATCAGCTCTCCAGGGTAAGAGTTAACTTGAAGAGATGTTTAACCATCTGGTCAATGAATACCTGGGAGTCTGGGAAGAGCTATGCATGGGGCTGAGGCCACAAATAAGAATAAGAGGATGAGCACTGGATGCTGAAGTGAGGCCAACAGATGGCGGAAACTCTTAATTGCTCCTTGTGGTGAGAGTCCACAGTGCTGCCTAAGCCCTCTCTCCCCTGTTATTCTGTAGCACTGGCCGCACAGCCCAGGGACCCCAGCAGGGAATGCATCGACCAGCCAGAGCTGGCCAACTGTGACTTGATCCTGCAGGCCCAGCTCTGTGGCAATGAGTATTACTCCAGTTTCTGCTGTGCCAGCTGTTCCCGCTCCCAGCCACACACTCAGCCCACTTGGCAGCAGGGGTGAAGGCTACCTCTGGCTCTGAACAATCCTCTGGGGAGAAGGAAGATGGAATCGACTTCCTCTCTCTGGCTGGCATCATATTCCAGAGAAACTGGTCCTTTCAGTCACCATTCAGTGTTGTGCTTCAGCAGCCTCCAGGACCGGCCTTCCTCTGCAGAACTCAGCAGTGCCTGTGTCTCTCATTACGGATGGCTGCTGCTGAGTTGTCAAGAAGAGGAATCTGTTTGAAGAAGGGACAAACTTTCCTTTACAACTTCCTTTTGTAAGTTCTGTTACAGGTTGAGAATTTCTTGTCTGAAATATTGGGACCAGAAGTGTTTCAGATTGTCGAAAATTTGCATACTTAACCACTTAGGCATCCCTGATCCAAAAATCTGAAATGCTCTAAAATCTGAAACACTGAGGGTCATGTCATCACTTAAAGCAAACTGTCAGGGCTTTCACTTCATTTAAAGCTAGGTGGAGAGGTGTGTAATGATTTCAAAATTAACACCTGCCTTGTAAGTGGCATGCCTATTCCTGCTTTCAGGGAAGTATTCTGTGCTAGAACAGAGTCTCCTGTGAGATCAAACAGTGGTCCATTGCTCTAGTCTCTCTCACCTTTCGAAGGAGTGTAGCAGTCAGCTTCATATCCCACAAGGTCAAGAGCATAATGCTGGTGAAACCTCTTAGCAAAAGTGGAATATAAGGCCTTAGTATAGGGATTAGGAATGAAAGAGGCAAAGTTAATACTGTCATGTGAGCATGAAAGAACTGGAAAAATTGCTTACTTTGTTGGGAAGCTGGACCCCAAAGCCTTCTTGAGGTCAACATGCAAAACTGGCTGTAGAGGTTCATCTGAATCCTTCGTAAAGTTGACCAGCCTGCTCTGTGCAGTGACAGTAAGGAGCCCCTCTTCCTTAAGTATTATGTAAAGCAGAATGTTTGCTTCCAGAGAAAGATCGGACGGTTGTTAAAAACAGCATTAGCAGGCTGGGGTTGTGGCTCAGTGGAGAGCACTTGCCTAGCATGAATGAGACACTGAGTTTGATCCCTGGCACCACATAAAAATAAACAAATAAAATAAAGGTATTGTGTCCATCTACAACTAAAAATTAAAAAAAAATAGCATCAGCAGGATGGGGAACTAGTAGGTGGTGGGTGAAGGCAATGTAATAACAGGGAAGTGGTTTGAGTTGGAGGAAGTCATTCTTTACCTCTCAGAATTTCTAATTCCTCAATGCTGAAACAAGAGGCCTAAATTCAAGGAGCTTCCAAGTCTTATTCAACTTTCTTTTATGAATCCTCCAGAGGACTGCCTAGTAATAAAGGTCATTCTTTGACAGAGGAAAGATGAGCATCATAGGGACCAAAACCCTGAAAGGTAACTTTTATTACCAACACACTGTCTGGGTGATGCTTTCTGGTCTACCTCTCATCCAACAAAAGAAACATGGGCCAAGGGCAGAGGTTTTTCCCTTTCCATTTAAAAAAAAAAAAAGTACTGAGATGCATACCCTTTCATTTATCATGGCTGGTTTTGCTATAGAAATAGAAAAATAAATGTTGCTTTCATGGATTTCCTAGTTTAATAAAACCAGAATTTATCCTATTGGCACACACTTTAGAAGTTACATCTAAAAACAGCTAGCTCTTTTGAGCTAGCCCATGTTAGAACTAGTCCCAGAATAGTGGCTTAGAGGACAGGGCCAAACTCACTCAAGAACAATGGTTCTCAACCATCTTCCAGGGTCACTGAACCTGGAGTTCTCTGACCACCCCGCCACACACACTCTGAAATTAATTTATTTGGTCTTGTGTATAGGCTGGGCATTCAAGTTTGTGTGTGCGCACTGGGGGTGGGGGCTCTCACATGCTAAGCATGTGCTTTACTACTGAGCTACACCCCAACTCTAGGCATTAGGACTTTAAAAGCTACCCAGGTAATTCTACCATGTAGCCAAAGTCAGGAGGCACTACTCCAGCCCTGGGGTGTGGCTGAGATTCTGCTTTCCAGCCAGCTCCTGGGTGAAGCCTATTATGCCAGACCACATAATTCTGAACAGCAAGAATCTGACTTTAGCCTTTGTTTGATCCTGTTAGCATCTCTTAAGTATGAACAAAAATGTGAATTTTTAGGATATATTAGTCACAATAAAATATCTGTGGCTACTAAACTAGGAATCTGCAGAAAGAGCAAAGAGGAGAGACAATAACACCGAAGAAAACAAAAAGCAAACTCATTTGCAAACAAATGGAAAATAAAAACATTCCTTCATGGACAAAAGCTTCTACCACGAACATTTATTTTGTTAAAGCAGATTATAAATTCTCATCAGTACAAATATATATATATGTATATATATATATATATAACTTACATTTGATTGTAAGGCCAACGTTCAAAAGTAAAAATGAGATGGGATCTCATGTTGTTACCCGAGGTCAAGTGGCTGCAACTGGCAATGGGATGATCTGCTCACCATAAAGGAGGTGGGGAGGGGGGAGCACATACACAAAGCTAATAAAACCAGAATCCCCATCCCCACAAAACTCGTGGGAACAAAATTTAAAGGACAAAAACCCACCAAGACCCACATCACAAACCAACACAGAAACCTGTGTTCCCTTCTGTGGATGATTATGTCATTGTCACCTTAGTGTTAAAACAGTAAAGAATTAACATAAGGAAATTGCAACAATATATAAAATACATATTTTCTAAAACATATTTAGATTGATTCCATTAAAATAATGACATTAGAATTTCAACAGAGGTTTAAAACCAGGACAATACTGCTTTCATTTTCTTTAAACTACAATCTAGTGAATGTATTGGTCATAAGCATGATTGTTGATGCGATGTACTACTTACAATGAACGATATCGAACAAGCTAGGGATCCTGTCTGCAACTTCCAACCCTTCCTCTTTTTACTTCAATAGGCATCAATGATAAATCAATCTTATGTACAATTTCTTACAACTAACCCTTTTTACTTTTGGCAAGATTACTTACAACTCATACAATTTTTTAATATTGAGAACTATTTAAAATATTCTAAAGGCATAAAAATAAAGATTTTGGCTTTTTTGATATATATTTATAATATTTATTCTGTTACTCAAAATGGAAGCTCAACATTACCCCCAAAATAGAGCTCTGCTGGGCAGTTGCTGATGTGCCCTCCCAGGAATTCTGGCAGCATCCTCTGCCTCTCTTCCCAGCCTGAGCACAGACCACTCTTCTTGATCTTTAAGACAGGTCAGTACTGACTGGGAGGAGGCAGGGGAATGGCCTGAAAAGTAAAGGGAGATTGTTTTGCTTTTATTCTAGTAAATGTGCTTTGAATACAGATTCCTGTTCAGGTACTTCTGCCTTTCTATTGTCAAGAGATTGTAAGGGGGCAAGGGAAGAGGGTTTAGAGAGCACAACATTTTCTTGACTTCTTTAGCTTAGCTGCAAGACAATCTTTGCTAGGAATGGCTTTCTTCACTTCTTTCAAAATCACCCCTCACTGCCTGGACTTGTTCCTTGGGACCTTTGGGATTAGTGAAACGTATACTGATCAGGAATACAAAGTCTCTTTGCTCCTTTGACCTCCACCCCCTGCTTTTACCTAGGTACAGACAAGACACATAAGCCAGAGAGATTGCTTAAAGTTCAATTTCAAATGTCTTCTGTAAGTCACTGGAAAATGGGTTGGTAGGGGAGGGATTAGTACGCTGCTTGGATTTGCTTTCTAATGCAGCCCACTGAGCTTCAAAAGGATCCACTGGGCAGGTGCCTGCAGGAACCTCTGTGTGCTTGTCTCCTGAGGCCAACCTGCCATCATCTACACCATTGAAAGCTGCAGAACCGTTGAGGTGCTGAGCAGGAGGCTTAAAGAAGGGACTGGTGGTAGCACTGCTTGTCTCATACTGTGGGAATGTCTGTTGCTTGACCAGGCTGGGAGATGGATGGGGATGAGTGGCCTGAGGATGGCCTGCAGTGCCAAACACATTGGCTACCATCTGGGAGGGAGTGATGCCCACCACAGGCACATTAGGGGCTGGATAGGACATCCCGTTGGCCACAGGATAGGACTGGGCAGGGACAAAGGTTGGCTGCAATGGTGGGACCACACCCACTGGCACAGGCTGAGAGGTGAGGAATGCATTCCCTTGGAAAGGTGGTGCTGGGTGGGAAATGGCAGTGGGTGGAGGAGGCTGGAGAACTGGCTGCAAAGGGGCAGCTGAGACCTGGGGCTGCTGGGCTCGGACACTCTTCGACACTTCTTCTAACCAGCGGTCAGCCTCAGAGGGAGTGCGTCTGTGACCACCATGGAAGAGACCTGGAGATGCAGCACCAGAAGATTGACCCCACTCAGTCCCTGGAATGAGCAAGATGCAGACAAAAGAAGAGTTACTGGCCTCTTTCCTCACATTATAACCTTGGTTATTTGAAGGACCCTAACATGTGGCACAAGTCCCCCAAGTGGGACAATCTGTGGTTCTGGCAGATGGGAGGAAAGTATTACCAACTGAAGAGATTTTGTGGTAGGACAAAGAGAACCTGTCAGACCATTTGCTGTCAGCCATGTTGAGAAGCTGTTTAGATATAGCTCAAATGCACTGAGCCAAGGCAGCTGGCTGGGGTTGGGAACCCCACTTTGTTGTCATGGTTAATCCAAGGTACAGAAACTAGCAGGAGCATGTTCTACAGGGCTTGAGGGATCCTTCTTTGCTCTAATAGGGCAAAAAGAAAATAACCAGTGACTTGGCCATAATTAGCTGGCCCCTGCCTGGTTTCTAGCCATATGTTGTTTTTATGGTGAAAGATTCTATTTTTTTTTTTGGTTTCATAGTTTATAGTTTGGTTTTATGCCTAAAACCTCAGTTATAGTAAATGACTATTCATTACAGGAAAAAAGAAAAGGAAAAACACAAAAAAGAAAAGGAAAATGATGCTTAACGTAGTACTTTTTGTATGTCTACCATTGCAGGAGGCAGGATCCCCTCTTCTTATAGTCATGTCTGCATATTGCCAAGTCCTATGATAGATTCTCTGGGGACTGGGCTCAGGAATCTATAAAAGCCATACAGGTGGCTCTGCTCTCTATTGCTGTAATCTCTCTTGTTTCTCACCATCACTATTCTTTCTTAATAATGATTTATTTCCAGAAGGGAACACACTTTTCCTAAAAGGATTTTTATCCTTAGATCCCATTAGGTAATTGGCAGACATTAGAACCAGGGTCACTTATCTGATCCCAGAATCCTCACCACCATCTGTGGCCACCTTACCCGGATGAATGGCTGCAATTTCCTTGTTAGCAGCATCAGGGGCATTGGCCCAAGGGTTGGTTTCACGCACAGGCATTGCTACGGGTGCTAGAGCAGTATGGACTGGCTTAGCAGCAAGCACATGGAAGGCTGAGTCAGTGCCATTAGCTATAATGGGAGCAGACAACATCAATGGAGTTAATTCATGCAGGGTGTACGAGGGATCCCATGGAGCTGGGACAGTCAGGCCAGGGAACAAAATTGGTGAGACAGATAAGATGGAATAGTTGATGTGGGAATAACCATGCCATCTTGCAGTGGATACACATATCTTTTGGCAAAGAAGGATTAGAGGTTGTAATTAAAATGGTTGTACTGATAAAGTCAATGGTTGTTTTGGGAAAACATATGCATGAGGAGGGGAAAAATTAAGCCTATAAAAACAATTGCTGACTAGCTGGGTGCAGTGGTAAATGTCAATATCCCAGTGACTCTGGAGGCTAAGGCAGGAGGATCAAAAAATGGAGACCAGCCTCGACAATTTAGCAAAACTTTGTCTCAAAATAAAAAGGGTTGGGGATAGAGATCAGTGGTAGAGTGCTATAGGTTCAATCTCTAGTACTTATCCCCACATATTAAGTTGAATAGAGCTGCTCTTGTGAGCAGCACAAAAACCCCTAATTAATCCAGATAGAACTTTAGCCTTTGGCTTAATAAAGTAGATAAAAGCACTTCCCTTTTTTTTTTTTCCACATTTTTCCCAAAGGTCAAATTATGCCAATAACAACTATAATAATGGGTACAATATAGTGATTTCTTATTATGCATTGGGCACCAGACTAAGTATTTTATGTGCATCATCTTATTTAATTCTTTCAAAACCCCCATAAGGATGGCACAATACTGCTGGGGATAAGTTCCCTGACATTCCAGATGCCTAAAACCCCAGATAATACCAAATCCTACATATACTGTTTTCTCCTAGACATACATACCTATCATAAAGTTTAGGCATAGTGAGAAATTAATAACAATAGAATATAATAAAAATTATTTGATCTGGGTACGATGGCTCATGCCTGTAATGCCAGCAGCTCTGGAGGTTGAGGCAGGAGGACTGTAAATTCAAAGCCAGTCTCAGCAACTTAGCAACACCCTGTCTCAAAAAATAAAAAAGGGCTGGGGATGTGGCTCAGTGGTTAAGCACCCTTGGGTTCAATCTGTGTACCCACCGCCACCAAAAAAAAATTGTTTATTTCTGGAATTTTTCTATTTAATATTTTGAGATAATAATTGACCAAGGGTAACTGAACCCTTGAAAAGTGGAACCAGGGGCTGGGGTTGTGGCTCAGTGGTAGCGTGCTTGCTTTGCATGTGTGGTTTGATCCTCAGAACCACATAAACTAATAAAATAATAAAATAAAGGTATTGTGTCCATCTACAACTAAAAAAAAGTTAAAAAAAAAAAGTGGAACCAGGAATAAGGGGGCGCTACTATTTTATTTCCATGTAACAGATGAGAAATCAAACTTGTCCCCTTTTTATTTGCTTACGAAATTTGTAATTTGCTACAGAATTAATTTTATACATCTCTCTCCTTTTTGAAGATTTTCCTCCTAAAGTTCACAATATCTCAAAGTGCCTATTATTCTTTCCTCATATTCTTTTATTAAAATCTCTTAATCATATCCTTTTATTAAAATCTCTTAATCCTTCTTTTACTCCAGATAATTACACATCAGTTTCTACCACTTATCCCAGCTTGCTCTATCATATTTAATATGAAGCAGATAGGCAAGCATCTTCCCCTGCCTTCAACATAAACACTCCCTCTTTAGAACTGGGCAACCATGCTTGTGGTGTTGATATTATTTACCCAGAGCGTGTCTTAAAAAAAAAAAAAAATCTCACCTATAGTCTGGGAGCAGGGAAAGGACTATGCCCCATTAGATTCTGAATACCCAGTGCCTTGTAAACATGCAAGATCAGTAGAACATAATGGGTACTATATTCAGAAGATCTGAATTTAAATTCTGTTTGTATGATTTGTGCAATTAACCTCCTGAGCCTCATTTTTCTTATCTGTGATGTCCATCTCAAAGGACTGTTGAGGGAATTAAATGAGATAATGCATGAGTACTTATCACAATGTGAACTGTGTTAAGTGCTCAATACAAATACATTGTGTCTATTAATAATCATTAGCATTATATTTGTTAGATTAGATGAAAAGCTAATTGGAGACATGAAAAGTATACGACTATAAAGGTTGAGAGAGAGAGAGAGAGAGAGAGAGAGAGAGAGAGAGAGAGAGAGAGAGAGAGAGAGAGAGAGAGACAGACACCGACTCTGACTCTCAGAGTCAAAGCAAATAGTAGCTTCTTCCCACATGGTACTACTATTATCTCTAGGGCAAACTCTAAGCTTTCTTTCAAAAGAAATGAGATGTGCGATTACAGAAGCTCAAATTAGAGGTCTTTAATTTAAGTTACATACATTCTTTGTTGACCTGAGTCAATTTCGACTATTAATTCAGTATCTCTGAAAAAAATCTTGTAGTCTCTTCAATGTCACAAAGGCAAAATTTAGGCACGTGTTAAAGAATATGACATAGTTAGAAAGCCAAAAGAAGTTACCTTTTTCTTTATAAGCCTCTATGACAGGGTAGAGACTAGTGAGTCCAGGTCTTCTTGACCTTGGCACTATTAACATCTTGGGAAAGATAATTCTTTGTTACAGATGCTGTTCTGTGCATTGAGGGTGTTGGCAGTATCCCTTGCCTCTACCCAGATGTCAATAAAATTACCCCTTCTCCCTAACTTGTGAAACCCAAAAATGTCCCCACATAATGAATGCCAAATTTTCTCCAAGGAGGCAAAACTGCTCCTGGTTGAGACCACTGCATTAAAAAAGGATAATGCTAAAACCAGTCCCCATGACTACTGCTTCTTGAAAACTAGAATACTCTGACCCTTAACAGTAAAGTAGCAAATAAACCAGTTACAGAAGCTCCTAACAGAAGTGGGTGAAAGGTGGGTACATACATGCACAATGAGGAACACAGACATCTTAGGAAATAGGAAGGGGAACAAAGCACAAACTGTCAATTAGGGGAATTGACAATGGGTCTGACTATCTCCAGAAAAGCTCAGGATGCAACTTATAGTTAGTTAGTGAGCAGCTACCAAAATGACTAGTTTTTAAAAGAACAATTGAGCAGGTCAGATGGCACCAACCTTGGAAGGCAGGAGACTGTGGTGCCACCACTGTCACTGGTTTGGTCATTGGGGCGGAAGAGAAGGGGTCCTCAGAGGGTGTGCTGAAGGCATTGGTGATCTGTGAGCACAGGGAGCTGATGCTCTCTGCCTCCCCTTCTACCTCTGGCACTGCAAAGCAAACAGAAAATGGTTCCAGACAGAAAAATAGGATACTCCTGAAATATGAAAGTATGATACAAGCTGACATTTTATATTTTATCTCTTATGGAAGGAAAAGGCTCAATTAACTGAGTGAAGGGATACAAAAGCACCAAAAAAATTTGGTGACCACCATTTCAGTGGCTTTTCAGATGGGAAGGTGTAGAATGTCAACAGTTCAGGTACTATGGTACATCTTCTTTCCTTGTAAATCCTCAAACTTCTTTATTTCCTCTCATAACACTGTCAGGAATTTGGTATTCTCCTTTTGTGTCAAGAGTTCTGCTAGATGGATCTTTCTGAGAGATGCCTGTGACCTGTTTGCCTTCCAACCAGTGCCCAAGCTTCAAAACTTGACTCAACTTTTGAAGCTACTAAATAATTTTATCAGAAATATGGGGTAGAGTCTAGAGAATCAGTGGTTGCTCAGTGCATTTCTCTGTAATAAACTACAATGTCATCACTTTCACTTTTCTCCAAAACTACTAATACCAAATATATGAACTGTGATAACAAGAAAAAGTGAACTGAAGTGGAAGACTCTAGAAACTTGTTCTTAATATTGACTCTACAATACTTTTATATCACTGAGGAAGCTAATTATTTATAAGTGCTAAATTTTTGCTCATCTGTGAGAAGAGAATAATAGTTTTTGTTCCTCACCTGTATACTGAAATGAGATACTTGAAACATCTGGAGTTTCAGTTTTTAAAGGCATTTAAAAAGTTTAAAAGACTGTTGGTGATTATCCAGTCTCCAGCTGTTCTTTAGGCCTAGTTTTATCTGTTAATTTATTTAACTCTGTACTTGTTTTATCAGTGAGAATGCATATTGATACAGATTGCTTCACATATAGCAACAGTTTGCTAGACCCCAGAGGGACGTAAAATAGAGCCCAATAAAAGAACTAACCAGATCTAATACTTTAATTCTGGATCATATGATGAGGTTAGAGCTTAGGAGCTGGCTCAACTGAACAGAGCCCACACAAAGGTCTGTGTGGCAGTTTTGAAAGGTAATGGACAAATGTGAGCAAGCCTACTGTCTCTAAGGAACAAAAGATCTTAGATTCATACAAGAGGCTTGTTTAGAGTTTCCTTCCTATGCAGCCAACCAGTCACAAGGACAAAGAATATACCATTTCTTCTGGTATATCTGCTGGTTGTGCTATTTAACTGTACATGTTTCTAAAGCCTCTTTCATTAATTTTTTCCTGCGTCCCAAGTGGCAGAATAAGAATAGAAATTTGAAACCCTTGATGTCTGGAAACAGGTCAACTGAGAGGTAGTGCATTTACATCAGGACAATTTCTGGCCTTGTGAGCAGAAACCATGGTACTTCATCTTTGTTGAAGAGAAATTAATGATCCCTCCAAGGATCTGAGTTTTCTCCCATGGAAACAACACAAGATACAACCATCAACCAGCTTTAGAGAGAGAGGAATGGTGAGTTTAATGGGATTTGTGTTGCCACTAGAAGAGATGATAATACTTCAGTGCTACAGTGCCCAGTGAGTCAGATGTATGCTACTTACCTGCATTTTTTATGGGGAAATCAGTCTTCCTCTGCATAGTGGAAGGCAACTCATTGATGCGAAGGGATAGTTGGCGTTTAAAGGGTGACATCTTCTGGCTTAGAGCAGGAAATCCTCGGAAAGAGCCTTGGCGAGCAAGCTGTTCAATTGGTGCATGCCGGCGTGGGATGGCATGAGGATTGTTCATCTCCAGCGAGGCAGTGGCATCCGAAGTGGGAGAAGTGGGAGAGGATGGGGATGAGGCAGTGTTGCCAGGAGCCACTGATGAACCAACAACTGTCTTATCTGTTTCAACTCAAGAAAATTGAGAGAAAGAGGACCTTAACAATGATCTTCAAATATGTTAAGTTTATAGACCTGAGGAACTCAAAAGCCCTCTTTTTCTTTTACTCATCTCCTTCTCAATGTCTCCTAAAAGATAGGTTAGAAGTAAATTCCCTATTTTTCAGACAGATAAAGGTTTTATGTCACATAGCATGCTTACTAAAACACAAATATTAAAACTTTTAATTCTCTTATAGTGATTATAAGTTAAAATTTGAACAAACCCAGTTTAATAAACTCCTCATATGAGGTTCTTTAAAGAATCATGGATCATGATCTTCAGTGGTTTTTGGTGGAGGGTGACTTGTGGGGAAGGCAAAGTCAGAAAGTTCTAAATAAATATAAATTTGAGTAGGTGTCAAAAATTCATAAAGCAGAGTTTAGATCATGGATAATATGCATTGGTGGATGCAGAATTAAAGTTTAAAATTGGATTAAACCTGGAAATAAGACTTTTTCCTTTTTTTTAAAATTGATTTTATTTTTTTCAATACATGACAGCAGAGTGCATTACAATTCTTATTACACATATAGAGCACAATTTTTCATCTTTGTATGTAAAGTATGTTCATGCCAATTCATGTCTTTATATATATACTTTATTTTTCTGCATTACAATTCTTATTACACACATATATCACAATTTTTCATATCTGTTTGTATATAAAATATGTTGACACCCAATTCGTGTCTTCATACATGTACTTTGGATAATGATGTCCATTACTTTCCACCATCCTTGCTAATCCCCTGCCCCTCCCTTTCCTTCCCACCCCTCTTCTCTATCTAGAATTCATCTATTCCTTCCATGCTCCTCCTCCCTATCTCACTATGAGTCTGCCTCCTTATTTCACAGAAAACATTAAGCATTTATTTTGGGGGGGATTGGCTAACTTCACTTAGCATTTTCTTCTCCAATGCCATCCATTTACCTGCAAATGCCATGATTTTATTCTCTTTTATTGCTGAGTAAAATTCCACTATCTATATGTGTCACTTTTTTTTTTTTTTTATCCATTCATGCAATGAAGGGCATCTAGGTTGGCTCCACAGTTTAGCTATTGTGAATTGTGCTGTTATAAACATTGATGTGGCTGGGTCCCTGGAGTATGCCGTTTTTAAGTATTTTGGGTATAATCCAAGGAGAGGGATAGCTGGGTCAAATGATGGTTCCATTTCCACATTTCCAAGGAATCTCCATACTGCTTTCCATATTGGCTGCACCAATTTGCAGTCCCACAGCAATGTACGAGTGTACCTTTTTCCCCATATCCTTGCCAACACTTATTGTTTGTCTTCATAACAGCTGCCATTCTGACTGGAGTAAGATGATATCTTAGGGTAATTTTGATTTGCATTTCTCTAATTGCTAGAGATGATGAGCATTTTTTCATATATTTGTTGATTGATTGTATGTCCTCTTCTGAGAAGTGTCTGTTCAGGTCCTTGCCCCATTTGTTAATTGGGCTATTTGTTTTTTTGGTGCTTAGCTTTTTGAGTTCTTTATATACCCTAGAGATTAGTGCTCTATCTGATGTGTGAGGGGTAAAAATTTGGAGTATAAGACTTCAAGATAATTTCTAATTATCTTCTGTATTTCTGTAGTGTCTGTTGTGATATTACCTTTTTCAAGATGTATGCTGGTAATCTGAGTTCTCTCCTTCTCTTCATTAGCATGGCTAAGGGTCTGTCAATTTTATTTATTTTTTCAAAGAACCAACCTTTTGTTTTGTCATTTTTTTCAATTGTTTCTTTTGTATCGATTTCATTTCTAATTTTAATTATTTCTTGCCTTCTACTGCTTTTGCTGTTGATTTATTCTTCTTTTTCTAGGGCTTTGAGATGTAATGTAAGGTCATTTATTTGTAGACTTTCTCTTCTTTTAAGGAATGAACTCCATGCAATGAACTTTCCTTTTAGTACTGTTTTCACAGTGTCCCAGAGATTTCAATATGTTGTATCTATGTTCTCATTTACCTCTAAGAATTTTTTAATCTCTTCCTTGATGTCTTCTGCAACCCATTGTTCATTCAGTAGTATATTGCTTAGTCTCCAGGTGATAGAGAAATTTTTATTTTTATTTTGTTGCTGGTTTCCAATTCCATTCCATTTTGATCTGATAAAATACATGGTAGTATCTGTACTTTTTGTTTTTGCTAAGAGTTGCTTTGTGGTATAGTATATGGTCTATTGCTGTGCCCCTCCCCTGACTCATGCAAAGGCAAGGACCTACTGAGGTGGATGGCACAAGGCGTCCATCCTCTGGAGGAGCGCAGCATGTTTCTGGGAATGGGCTGGTTTGTTTTTGTATTCCTGTTAATAAGTATAGTTGCGACTTCTCATATGACCATTAGGTATGAAGGAAAAAACATGACTTTCCCAATTAATGCAACTACTTATAAAGAATAAATCTGGGCTGGAGATGTGGTTCAAGTGGTAGCGTGCTCGCCTGGCATGCATGCGGCCCGGGTTCGATCCTCAGCACCACATACAAACAAAGATGTGGTGTCCGCCGATAACTAAAAAATAAATATTAAAATTCTCTCTCTTTAAAAAAAAAAGAATAAATCTGTTTGCTCTAAATGCAATGATTCAGCTGTGGAACGTAAATTGTTAATGTTTAATGAGAAACCCTCTGTAGGAAAAACAGTCAAGGAAGTTTTGGAGAAATTAAATTAAAATCTAGAGATGAAAAATTAATATTAAGAAGACAGATTAGTGCTTGGTACTGGGCAACTTGTTCTTGTTCCTGAGCACAATGGTCTGATGCTCTTACTCTTGTTTGATTAAAATTAGTAGCCTCTCTTTTCAAGTTAACCACTTGCCATAACCGCAGCGCCAGTTCTAGTCAGTAAGTCAAGAAAGAATAGTCAAGGTATAGGCCAATAGTCTGGGACATTTCCAACTATTATTAAAAGCTAACTAAGTGGAAACAGCTCAAAGCAAAACGCAAACTGAAAGTAAAAATGCCTGCTTATGCATAAGCCAAGATACATTCTTCTTATCTAATTGTAGCTACGTAAAATTTCATTTCTTTGAATAATGATTCCTGTTTTGTAACCACAAAATACTGTGAGCCTGCCAAAATGAAAAGTATATATGATTAACTTCACAAGTAAAGGATAAGATTCAACACCTTCACTCTTGTGTCTGTGTTGTTCTCCTCCACCTTTTGCTCCTCACCATCTATCTGTTCATCTTCTGAGACCCCCTGCCAGAGCTGGATTCCGACAGTCTATTTTAAAGAAGGATCCATGTGCTGCTGAGAAGAAAGTGTATCCGCTTGATGCAGGTTGAAATATTCTATACATGTCAGTTAAGTCTAAGTTATTGATTGTATTATTGAGTTCTATAGTTTCTTTATTCAACTTTTGTTTGAAAGATCTATCCAGTGGTGAGAGAGGGGTGTTGAAGTCACCCAAGATTATTGTGTTGTGGTCAGTTTGACTCTTGAACTTGAGAAGAATTTGTTTGCTGAACATAGCTGCACCATTGTTTGGGGCTTATATATTTATGATTGTTATGTCCTGTTGGTGCATGATTCCCTTGAGCAGTATGTAGTGTCCTTCTTCATCCCTTTTGATTAACCTTGGCTTGATGTCTATTTGATATGAGGATGGAAAGCCCTGCTTGCTTCTGCAGTCCTTGTGAGTGGTATGATTTTTCCCAACCCTTTACAGTCTGTGTATGTCTTTTCCTATCAGATGAGTCTCCTGGAGGCAGCATATTGTTGTAGTTTTTTTTTTTAAATCCAATCTGCTAGCCTATGTCTTTTGATTGGTAAGTTTAAGCCATTAACATTCAGGGTTATTATTGAGACATGTTTTGTATTTCCAGCCATATTTGTTTATTTTTGTTATTTAACTTGACTTGGTTTTCCTCTTTGATTAGTTTTCCTTTATTGTACTACCTCCCTCTGCTGACTTTCATTGTTGTATTTAATTTCCTCTTCATGGACTATTTTGCCAAGGATGTTTTGTAGTGCCGGTTTTCTAGCTATAAATTCTTTTAACTTTTGTTTATCGTGGAAGGTTTTTATTTCATTTTCAAATCTAAAGCTTAATTTTGCTGGATACAAGATTTTTGGTTGGCACCCATTTTCTTTCAGACTTTGATATATGTTCCAGGATCTTCTAGCTTTTAGGGTCTGTGATGAAAAATCTGCCATTATTCTAATTGATTTTCCCCTTTATGTAATCTGATTCCTTTCTCTCGTGGCTTTTAAAATTCTCTCCTTATTCTGTATGTTGGGTGCTTTTATTATAATGTCCCTTGGTGTGGATCTGTTGTGATTTTGTATATGCGGCATTCTATAGGCTTCTTGAACTTGGATTTCTAATTCATTCTTCATGTTTGGAAAGTTTTCTGATATTATTTCATTGAATTGTTCATTCCTTTGGTTTGGAAGTATATGCCTTCCTCTATCCCAATAACTTTTAAATTTGGTCTTTTTATGCAATCCCATATTTCTTCAATGTTCTGCTTGTGGTTTCTTACCATTTTCACTGTGTGATCTATGTTCTTTTCAAGATGATATATTTTATCTTCATTGTCTGATGTCCTATCTTCCAAGTGGTCTACTTTGTTGGTGATGCTTTCATTTGAGCTTGTAATTTGGCGTATTATTTCTTTCATTTCAAGGATTTCTTTCTTTTATTTTTTTGGAACCTCTATCTCCCTGTTGAGGTGATCTTTCGCTTCTTGGATTTGTTTATGTAGCTCATTGT